TTTATATAAAACTATGCATATATCTTGTGGCACACTACTATCGATCTTGTAATAATAAACTCCCTGTTTTGCATTTTCAGGTCCCATCAGATCCATTCATCAATAATATATTGTCTTTGTTAAAGCACAAACTCCAGCATTATAAAGTGGTCATCTAAAGATTAGTCATTTCAATCCATCTGATTTAATTCAAATCTACTCCTTAGTCCCCAAGATTAAACACTCTCTCTGAGCACTTCATACTGGCAGAAGCAAGGTCACTTCATAAATTATGGACTTTCCCTCCTGCTCCTATCTTTGTTCTTTCAACTGCTTTCCTTCCTCAGAAGACCAGGTTTATGGCCAAATAAAAAATAAATACAAATGTATTCAGTAGCTCTTTTTATATGTCAAGTGTTAGATTATCTATGGAAGTTGCTTGGTACCCTATTGTTTGGGGTTAATACCCTGGAGAAGAGCCTTATCTCTTCTGCCACAAATCATAGAGAGCACCTGAAGTCAATGCAGACCTCATCCTAATTTTTTTGTGCACCTTACCTTTTGGTAAGTATAAGAAACAGTAAGACAAATATCCATGGCAGAGGATCACAAAGGCAATATTTGGTATCAAAATCATCTTTTGTTAAAATTGTATTTGGTTCTTTAAAAAAATCATTGCAATAAACTTATGCTCCATCCATATGCAGGGAAGGAGTCCCTTTGGTTTCAGCACTGCCTGTCTCCCCCACCTGGCCCTGTTGGCTGGTCAAAACTGTCAATAGAAGGTGCTCTAAGGGCACCTGCCCCTCTGATCGTGCTCAGAGGCAAGACTCTGTAGCCCCTCTGCCTCAGTGGTGAGGCTCCCTTCCTGCTAACTGACTTTCAATCCCTTGACCATTATTGAAAACTTATCCTAGTCCTGAAGTTGGGTTGATTTAATTTTGTTTTTGAAGTCACTTTAATTTCACAAGCACCTTATAGAGTGATTACTATGTGTCTCCCACAACAAATCCTATTCAAAAGACAGGGGCTGATAAGAACTTAAGCAGAGGAACCCCTGGGCCAAAGACAGCTCCCTACAAGCCAAAACTGAAGCAGAAATAATATCTCCAGCAGAAAGTTCCTGAATACTACCCTGGGGTTGAACTTTGGACAAGAGCAATACATACGTAATGACTATGTATATGCCCTGAGTTATGCATATGTAATGAGATGTGCATATGTAATGAGCTATACATATGAAATGAGATGTGCGGGTGTAATGAGATGTGCATGTGTAATGATGAGATATGCATATGTAAAGATGTGCACATGTTATGGGCTGCATGGAATGTGCCATATGTAAATGAGCTCATCCCAACCTCATCAGTAGAAATCATCATCAGAACCTCATGATACAGTTTTTTGCAGTCACCCTTTATCTATGGCTTCTCTTCCAGTTTCAGTTACCACGGTCCTAATATAGGTGAGTGTAGCACAATAAGATATTTTGTAAGGAAGAAAAATCATATTCACATAACTTTTTTATTACAATATGTTGTTATAATTGTTCTATTTATTTACTTATTTATATTATTAGTTATTGTTGTTAACCTTTTACAATACCTAATTTATAAATTAAACATTATCATAGGTATATATGTATGTAAAGCAAAAAATCATAGTATGTATGGGGTTAGATGCTATCTGTGGTTTCTGGCTCTCACTGCAAGCTGTTAAAGTAAACTATTCTGCCTTAAAACGACTCCTGGAGTCCCACATTTGGATCCCTCTGGATAAGCCAAAATCATACCTGTTAGGCTGTTTTGTTTTTTTAATATATATTTTCAAGCTGGTTACTGGGTTACAGCCAATCACACTAGTCACACTGCAGTCAGTCACAGAAAGCCCACCTTTTAGGCTATTTGTGCAGCCTACCTTCCACCTGTAACCAATGATGTCTCTTCCTCACTCCCTCACTTACATTTTGTACAACATTCTCCCTTCTTTACGGCACACATCATTTTCCCATTCCGCCCACATATATTCCCTGTAAACCATGCAGCTAGCCATAGTCTTGGAAATCATCTTCCAGGAGACGGCCCAACTTAAATCGCCCACTCTTTGTTTAAATAAACTCTGTTAAATTTTGGTTTGTTTAAATTTTTTTAACAAAGCCTTGGAACACGGCCCGTGTAGATAATGGGGAATTTCTATACTTGTATAAAAACGTATTCTAGTAATGCTGCATGGTGATAGAGGAAGCTTCTGTGTTGAAAATGTGGAGTCTTTTACAGACTGATTTGTAAAGTGTTTCAAGTTGTTTATTGCCATCTAACACAGCAAGTTTGTCAAACCCATTTTGTTTCTCTAAGCTAAACAGATATTGGCAACTTCATCTCACCCCAGTAAAAAAAATGCACTGAAAGCATAAGTACTACCTGCTGCAATTTTGTCCTGGTTTCCACAAAATGTTGCACATTTCTCTAGGAAGACCAATAGGCCCAAAGAGATCCTTGGACATGTTCCAGAATTTGTTCATTTTCATACTCCAAAAAAGGCCTTATAACATTAATGAAACTGTTGATGTAAAATCTACAGTGCACTACCAGTATGAGTATCATGATTAAAAATTGACTTCAACTAAGAGCAGGCTGAAAGCCCTATTGAATTTTTATGGGTGTGTTGACTAAGATGCCCCAGGCTAAGTCTTCTGGTGTTGATGATAAACCCCTGGCCTCCTCTCCAAAAAGTCATTGGAACTGACCCAGTGTCAGAGCTCCCGCCCCCTCACTAAGTCAGCTGAGATCAATACCTGCCAGGCTGTTGGCAGGGCTCTTCTCTATAAATACATCGATTTGTTAAAATGAATGGTTTCTGTCTATAAAACCCAAATTACCATTTCACTCAAAGTAAACTTATAATTTTTGTCTCCCTGATAATGTTAACATCATCCATAATAGCCCCTTAGAGGACAATTAACCTGGTGATGCAGGAACCTTGCAGAAGCCAGCATCAGCCTATGTGTTGGTGGCCTTGAAGCTGAAGGTTGGGGTCTGGTGACACAAGGACTGGCAGCTCCCAGAGTTATGCTGTGGAAATGTCACCAGGCTTTTTTTTTATTTTTTATTATTATCATAATCTTGTTTATATTACATTGAATCACATATAACTTTACAGTGTGTTACATTTCTTTTTCCAGAAGGAATACCATTCATTTCAGTCAACACAAAGACATTAAAATCCCCATCTTCATCATGCAATAGCTTTCCATTTTTTTCCAGATTACTGTTATTATTCCAATTACTTTTTTAAACATTCAATCACTAGTTATCATTTTGCTTGTGAGGAGACTTTCCCCAACATAAAATACTTCTCAGACCTGTCCAGTTGAGAATGCTATACATGTCATCATCAACAGGTAATAAACTGTATCTGAATCTCATGCATGTCATGCCTCTCTATGTGTTCTCTTGCTATCCTTCTCCATACTCTTCTCTTCTGCCCTGTTCCACCAGGCTTTGTATGACCCTAGGAGGCTGCTATTTTTAGCCCCCTCTCTATTATTTCTAATAAAGACCACCTGCCATACATTGGAAGGAACAAATCTCTCCTTCATATCAGAATGAACTCTGCATTGCTTTGAGTCATACATGTTAAAGTTTGATGTTTGTAAGCACTGTTTTCTCCTTCTTTCCTACAGAGAATATTCTGGAGCCAACTGTGTTCCAGGCTTGCTAGGCACCAGGATCACTAGGCACTGGAATACTGGCTTAGCGAGGACCAGATTCCTGCACTTGGAAGCTCACAGGCAAAAGAAAAGTTATCATGAGACACAACAGATGCAGAAGTTCCTGTCCAGAGTTCCTCTCCTGTCAGGAGAGCCCAAGGAATGGGTTTTGTGGGACTTTTTGGAAGAGGAAACATTTGGCATGGGTTTGTGGACCAGAATCTGACCAAGTTGAGGACTCATTATCCAAAAGGCATAGAGGAGGCCCAGCCATGATACCAGCATCAGCACAGCACTTTGCAATGCTGGAATTCATACAGTAGCTCAGGGTTTGGTTCCCAGGTTAACCTGTACACACCTAGAAACCATGTTTCTGGCTAGCTGTGAAAATCTGGAGTGAGATCCAGTTGAGGGTGCATGTTTTCTCTAAATAAATAAATAAATAAATAAATAAACAAACAAACAAAAAATATTTTTTTAAAAAAGGCACTGAGGGAGAAGAGGCACATATGTCTAGAAAGTAAATAATTGGATGAGGCAAGATGAAGAAGTGGGTGAGGTGAGGAAGGGGAATATGGTCAGAAAATGGCTTCAACTGTGATGGGCCATGACTACTAGACCCATAGGTTTGTAGCCAATCCCTTCAGCTGCAGGGCAGGGGAGGCCAGCAGAGGATTCCTGGCAGCAGAATGGCAGGTGGTTGTCTGGGTCATTAGGGGCCAGGATAGGAGGTCATCAGAGAGTCAGGCCCTAGGGATCATAGGCCATGGAGACAGAGCAGGAGGAGGCACACTGGCCATCTGAGAACCTTTCCATACATCTACAGAGTTGCACATCGACAACACCCCAGAGCATACAAATGTGTGGAGGACCCAGTCTGCTGGAGATGGCTGAGACTTATCAGCTCACAAGGCCACATGTGAACCCAACGTAAGAGTTGGAGGGACTCATAGTCAACCCAGGAGTCTTAACCCACTAGAAGGGCAACACTGTTCACAGTGGAGTTTGAATCTGGGGCTTCTGGGGAGGTTGCAGGGTCCCAGCATCCCACCCCTCCCCTCCACCCTCCAACCTCCTCTGTTCACCGGAGAGCTAGCTTTGCACACAAGCTTGACAGGCTCCCCTCAATGCCCCAGCTGCCTCACAGGCCCAGAGCTTTCTGGCCTAAAAATGGAAGGTCATAACTCCTCTGCTCCCTGGAATTGGGTAAATCTAATCTAATCTGAACTTTGGATCCCAAATGTCGTCAGTGTTTAGAAATTTTACTTTAAGCAACATAGGGAATGACAGATAACTCTGACCCCTGCTTGGAATGTGTCTTTTTTTATTCCTGCCCCTTTGATCCCTCTTCAAACGCCCTGCAGATGGAATAGGTGTGGTCCACTTGACTTGGGTAGCAGCAGAGCAGCTGGTGCAGCCAGGACTTCTAGAAAGCACAAACAAGAGCAAACCTGAGGGGATGGCAGACTTGGAGCCCCGGTGCCTTCTGAAATGGGCAGTGCCCCTAGGGAACACCAGGGCAGGCATGTGTGTGTCTCATGAAGGCCCTGTCCAGGCTGAGATCCTAACTCAGCAGTCACAGCACAGTCATCCACCCTCCTCCACTCAGCAGAGACCTGGGAGATATAGACTGATTCCTGGAACAGACCCATTGATGGAGTTTGTTGCTGAAGTGGCATCAAAGTCTAGTCTAGTCTGGACCTGTGAGGCCTAAGAGGGAGGCTTCCCCTGGTCTGGATCTGCTGATACCATCATAGCCAGAGCAGGGTCCTGCTGCCCTTCAGTTCATCCTGCCTGCTGGGAATGACACCCAACAGAAATCTGCAAGCCTGGAGGGACACAGAGGAAATGACAGGGAGGTTTGCATGGCAGCCTTCAAATGGTGCACTAGGGGCACTCAAACCCTACTTACTTCTCAGGGACACCCAGGCTGCCGTATCCACTTGTGCCTGTCTAAGATCTCCCATAGGGAGGGGATACAACTGTCCATCAAAGCAGAAGGTGGTTAGGCGGGGTCTACAAGGAGACCAGACCACTGCCAGAGCCCCAAGCACAGGCCAAGGGAGGGCTCTATATGAACTGCAAGCATGGAGGGGACAGCATGTCTGCTCAGGGACAAGGACTTACTTACAAGATAAGTAAGCTTGGCTAAAGTTTGCCAAACGTGTCTAGTTGTGCAGGTGCTTGCCACTGGCACCCACACATCTCTGGACATCACCAAACCCTGTTTTCTGCCCCAAAGCTTCAATCGTCCCAACCCTCTCACTCAGTAGAATACTCACTTGTAAAACCCAAATTTGAAAAACATCCTATTGGAGCCAGGTATGCATTGTTTTATTTTGTGATTTCAAGGCCGTTATTTTTCTACAGCTGTCTAGTAAGCAACTGTTCTGTGATGAAGGAGAAGGGACATGGGGGCATTTTAAAAAGGAGATGCTCTCAGTCCAGGCTGAATCCTGGGCAAGCAAGGAAGACATGGCTGACCCCTACAGTCACAGTAGTTACTCTCCGAGGAGCCCCCTACCCGCCCAGCTGGAAACCACAAGGTCTGAAGTTAAAGCAAACATTCCCCTATGAAAGAACAAGACCAAATTTTAAACGACCTCAAAAAAACTTTGAAGTGAAGATAGAAGAACTTTGGCATGTTGGTACAAAATCGATCAGGTTACTCCTAAAAGTCACATCTCATTTTTAAAAATTACTCTCCTATTTTCGCTCACGTTGATAAGTACAGATGGTCTTCAGTTTCTATCTGAATGGGAGGAATTTTCTAATCTGCCTTTAAAATCTCCCCAAGAAAAGTTCAAAAGATTCTTTCTGTTCTTGTGACATCTGGAAACAATGATTCTTGTCACCCCAGCAACTGGGCAGGACAGTGGCAGGTGCCTGTGGCCTGTCTGAAGGCCGGGGGGCGGTGGCCGGTGGCCTGTCTCCCAGCCACTCTGGCCTGGCCTCCCAGCAGGATCCCTGGGATGCCCTTTGGTAAAAGAACAACCTCCTTGCCCCTTCCCTCATCTCCAGTAACAAAAAAAAAAAAAAAAAAAAAAAAAAACCAGCTTCAGAACAGCAGAAGAAAGAAAGGTGATAACTACTCCAGATGCAATTTTTTCCCAAGTTATTTTGACCCTCTGAATATGCCATATCTATGTTTATTTCATAGACTATTTTGATTTTTTTAACTGTCAAAATCTTCTACAAAAAATTTATAGTTTTAACACTGGCCACTAAATTATTCAACATGTTGACCACAAAGAAAAGCAAATTGTAGCATGTCTTTGGCCACACTTTTGCAGGTTTAATGATAGCTCAGGAATATGAGATTTCATAAGTAAATAAAGAGGGAAGAAGGGAATTGACTAAACAGAATATAATATAGTTCATTTCTTACAAATTTTGTACCTCTGAATCAGTGAGGCTTAACCAGGAATGATTGTTGCCCCCCAGGGGACATTTGGCACTATCTGGAGGGGACTTTTTGCTTGTCATAACTGGACAAGGTTTGCTACTGACATCTAGTGAGTGAGAGCCAGGGAGGCTGTGTAAGCGCTGCCGTTCACAGAATGGTTTCTGCAACAAAGAATCGGCCCAAGCTATCAACAGGGTCAAGGGTGAGAAGCGCTGCTCTAAATAAGAATCTGAAAGAACTGCTTTTATCTACCTTCTCTTAGAAATATAATTCATTTGGGCCAGCCCCATAGCTTAATGGTGAAGGGAAGCTGGATCCCATGTGACCAATTACAGTTCAAATCCCAGCCCCAGCAGCTTGAAAAAACACACTGGGCATGTGTGTGTATGCCCAAACTCACAAAAATGATGGAAAAATGGAGGAAAAGAGATGTTGGCATGATGACATCCCACTGAGGGGTGCTGTCTTTCTTCCTCTCTATTTCTCTACGGTATCTGTACTCTGGGCAACTGAAAAAAATAAATAAATAAAAGAGAGAAAGAAATACAATTCATTTTTTTTTACTCTTGAATGTAAAGCTTCACTCTTGAAGAATGTCTGCTCTCATGTCCATGATGCACACACACTTGCACACTCATGTGCACACACGTGTGTACTCATAGACACGTCTGTACACATGCAAACAAGCATGTATGTGCACTCACACACACATCTACACATACTCTCACTCATGTGTACACACATACACACACATGCATGTGCACACATGGTTCTGTGTACAGACTTCTGTGTCAGTATAGAAATCACTCACTTAGACGTCCTTGCTGGAGCCCACTCCCATCGTTTGGCCCCTGAACCTGGCAGGCACCTGATTCATCAAATTCCTTAGCTTTGCCTTATTTTATCCACATAAATAATCTCAACTCTGTCTAGGCAGTGTGTTTTGGGAAATATCAGTCTCACACAAAGCCCTCCTAGGAGGGCAAATGATCCCAACTGTGACATCAAAAACGTTATTCGAAAAAGAAGAAAAATTCATAACGATCCTTCAGAGTTGCCTTGGGCTCAAGTTCCTTGGACTGGTGGCTACTTTGTTTTTCTGGAAGGCACTCCATCCAGGGAGGAGACTACGCATGTGTGATCCAGTCACTGTGAACTGCATTCCAAGCATGTAGGCCATTCAACTTTGTTTGTTTTGGAATGAGATTTTTTTTTAAAGCCCATTGAAAGTTTGAGATAAGTTTCAGAAAGCCTCCAAAACTGAAGTATGTATGTCTGGGCTTCTGGAAGGATCCACTTGATATAGGGTATGTGCAGGATGGAACATAATTAAATTAGCCCTGTCTGAGGTGCCGTTTGGAGGACGTCTGAGGGATAAGCCTGTGCAGATGAAATGTCAATATTTTAATAACTTTCCTTGAAAAAATATTGCCGTGTAATTCTCTTTTGGTTCGCTTTCAGCAGTTCATTCTGTCCCTCTGGAAGATTATGCTGGAGGAATTATGGTTTTAGCTATTGATTCCCTCACCCCTCTTATCTCCCCACCTATCCCACCCCCACCTTGGGTTTGGATTAGAAATAAAGTTAAACTGGGGTCAGACATGTAAAGGTGCTTCAAACACCATTCGGAGCTCTGGTTTTATATTTTCATCTCTGTGACAAGAAAATTAGAACGTTTTTGCCAGCTCAATTTGCTTTGAAATAGCTGTAGCAGCAAAAGCAGGTTTCTATCATACACGTGCACACACACCCCTCCTGGGACCCACTGAAATGAACTGAAAGAAACTTCAGTGAGGAAAGAGACTTCATCTGCAGTGGACCAGAAGTGGTACATCCACACCCTAACTGTACTGAGCGCTGAGGGGCTGGATCCACTGCTGGAAAGCAGAAAAGCCAAAGAGAGGACCTGCAAGCCTCTCCTGGAATGTGGAGACCTTTCCAGGAGCTAGCTTCCTCCCCTACTCCCACTATCCAATTGGGAGGACAAAGGGTTGGAAAGACAGACAGCAGTTCTTAGGGGCCACTCCTGTACCCATGAGCTCCCACACAGATGTCTGTGTCCACACCAAGCTAGAAGCCAGCGTGGGGATGGGACCACAAAAAACAACATCCCTGAGGGGTTTGCCCTGATCTGTCATCAGAGGCAGCAGAGCACACCTTGCCAAGCAGTGCTTGACCCCTTTCACCCCATCCCCAGGTTCTCTAGTGATGCACAGGGCAGGACAGAGCACAAGCAGTTAGTGGGTCCAGGTAGCCTTCAGCCATCCATAAGTGGAAGGACAAACATGCAGCTCCCTTGCCCTCTGTGGGCTCTCTCTGCCCCTGAGGACCTGGTGGGGCTGAGTTCAGCACCAGAGTCATATCAACTCCCTTCTTTGTTTCTTGCCTTTCTTTTCTCATTCTGATTGGGTATTCCTGAGCTCACCCGACAAACACAGATCCTTGTCTGGGACCTTCCTGTGGGGAAGAAAATCCAAGACATTACAAGGTAGGTGACCCAACCACATCTTTTGTGACTTCAGGAAAATGGCATCGAGGACCCCAACCTCCTCTCATGTAAGTAACCGAGGGACCACACATAGAAAGTAAACCATAGTATCTGGTCCTCCAAGTCAGATTCCAAAACTAAAGCTAAAAACCTAGGGCCAGCAAATGGTGTGGCAGTTGGTTCAAGTCCTGGACCTGGAGGCTTGTATTCTCACTTTACTTCTCTCCTTTGTTCTGTCTCTCTCTAGTGTGCCACAGATCCTATAGCATTTTTTTAAAAATAATAATAAATAAAATTAAATAAATAATTATTTTTTTAAATGCTAAAAATACCATAACTCCTAGAGAAAAGGAATTTCATGCCCTTGCCTTCTGCAGTTCAGTGCTGGGCACTGGGAGCCAAATTCCACGTAGTTGACAGAGATTTAAATCCTATCCCTGACAGCATGAAAAACATGTCAGGTGCATGTGCATTCATGCCCAAAGTCCTGACAGGATGGAAAATGAAGGACTATAACCTAACCTCACAGGGTGTTTCCCCTCTGCCCTCTTGCTATCTGCCTCTGGTAAATGCATATGCCTTCTGGCAATTAAAAAAAAAGTGATCCTACTTAGAAATGGGTAAGGAAAACGGAAAGGGATGTGAGCAACAAATCCATATTACAACATCAGAAACAGAATGCAACCTGCAATGGCAAAAGGAGATTCGAGGCTGGGGACATGCATTGTGGGGTTACAGCCCCTGCTCACCTCTAGGGGAAGCTAGGGGCTATGGCCTATGTCTGCAGCTTTGCATTCTGGAGGGAGGAGCAAGCTCTCTAGTTCTGGGCATGGGATAATAACTAGGAGTTCAGAAAGCAAAGTGAGGATGGAGAGGAAAAGAAAAAGACTGTGAGTGAATGAGGACACAAAGCCCCTGCTCCCCTTGAAGAAGGTGGCAAGGGAACCAGGCTATACTGCAGCAGTCCCAAAGGCCACAGCACCCACAGCTTTCTCACATGTGGCTTCAGCAGCTGCACAGCAAGGACAAACCTCACCTGTTCCAGCAGGAAGAGGTAAGTCCAAGAGCTTCTCACGCCAGCTCTGGTGGTCGCTGATCCTTCCTGTGCAGTATGTATTTGGATTCAGAGTCCTGGGACACAAAGCAAGGTCACCAGAGACAGGATTTTTAAAGACCATAGGAGAGGACGTTTTTTGTAGAAAGGCTTTCTTGAGATTACCATTCCCTGATTTCCTTCAGGACTGTCAAATTTAGTATTTAAGAACTATCATTCTCATACCATCATTTAGTCATTTGGATTGCTCCATAACCATAATGCAAAAAAAAAAAAAATGCATAGCAGGATTTACAGGGGACTAAAAATAACCAGGAATACATACACCAGCCTTATCTGAAGGTAGATAATAAGAACTCCACTGCTAATATTTCCCCTGTATTTTATTTATTGAGTTGTCTAAAAAACAAAGTCATAGACATAGCAGATAACTTACATTCTACACTTATAGAGGGAAGGAGAATTATCCAGAGCCAGAGATGTAATGAAAGTGGAAGGGCAAATCCTTCCTTTCAGGCTCCTAACTTCAGCCCTGTACTAGTCACAGCTGCAAATGCCATAGCTCATAGGTGATTCTTAGATTGCCTGTTATTACATGACACATCTCTTCAGCTGTGTGATTTGAGGGGTGAGGAACATGGCCACAAGGTTCCTCTCCCCACTAACATCCTCTGGTTTTATGAGGGCCTCTCCAAGAATCAGGACTCCTTCAGAATAAAATTTGAGAATTGACAGAGTATGGAGAGAAAAGACAGAGGGTTTAGAGGTAAACAAAGATACTCTCCCCCATAAGAAAAGACAAAAT